TGGAGAAAAATGGGTTCACCATCAGCACCTCAATGTGGTAAGATATCGAGTGCAGTCTATGTCCTCGTGGTGGCAAAACTCTAATTTGTGCAAAGGCAATAGTCCCATCTTCTCTGATCGTATTGTCTAACTCGTTTATCTCTAAATGGACTTGCAACTCTCTTAACTCAGCTGCTTAACAAAAATGGTTACATATTATTGTTGCTATATATAATCTATAGTTTTGTGGTTATTATTCATTAATCATTTTTTCTAATTGTTTCAACAGCAACATATTTTTGGACTTTGTTACAGTGACATGCATGTCACCATAACTTGCACTTTTAGATCGACCTCATATATGATTACGTCGACCTAATCTGCACTTTAATGTCGACCTTATATAGGATTAGGTCGATCTAATCTGCACTTTTAGGTCGAACTTATATAGGATTAGGTCGACCTAATATGTCGTTTCAGTTTTGTGAGGTTCAACGACGCGGTTGACCTTTTATAGCAAATGGTCGACCTCTTTGGGAAGCGAACAGAATGAAAGGTCGACCCAAATATCTCATAGGTCGACCATTTTGATTAACTGAGGTCGACCGCATAAGTACGAGGTCGACCGCGTGCACATCGTATCCGTATTGGATAAGGATTCCAACACCAGAAAGGTAACCCTAATTTATCTACAACTTAATTCGACTCATTCTCGTCCTAAATATCTATAAATACGAATATATGTCACCTTCACCGCCATCGAAACTCTGAATTAGGTTTTTTTTTATGGTTAGAGCTTTTGTGAAGAATATCCTTTGCAGTTGCTGCTGTACTTGATTCAAGAGGTTGACCACGTGGAAGTTATGAGTCCTTGTTATCATTATTTATGACTAATTCTGTTGGTTTGAAACGTAATTTGTACGAGTAAAAGAACCACCCACATCGACATACATAAGCAAAAAAGACGCAGGGCATAGGTTGATTTTCTTGTATTCGGTCGACCTCGTACCGGATTAGGTCGACCGCGAAACCAACACTTGATCTTGATTTTACGTCAAATGATGATGGATAAATGGATACAACACTTCTCTTCTATCTGGTCGACCTCTTTCTGTAAATGGTCGACCATTTTGTTAATGAACGTCATCAAGTGGTCGACCTATATACCTTTACGGTTGACCATTTTGCTTCTGACGCCAATGAAAAGGGCGACCAATGTTTTATTGTTATCGACCAACAATGACAACTTAAACTACAAACGATCGACCACTACATTTTAAAGGTCGATCGCGATAAGTCATCAGGGTGCCCACATTAGTGTATTCTGAAACCTCACAACACTTAAACGACGTATTAGGTCGACATAATCCTATATAAGGTTGACCTAAAAATACATATTAGATCGACCTAAAAGTGCAAGTTACGGTGACATGCATGTCACCATAGACATACCCATATTTTTATGTTTTCTTTTAGCCTCATATATTGGTCCTTTTCTTATTTCTTTAAAACATATTGCGTCATTCACATTTTTTCTTTTATTTCTTTTAGCTTCACATGGTAACCTTTTTTTTTATTCTTTTTTCTTTTATTTATGTGCTAAAACGAATTTTGTATATAATTTTGCATTTTTACTCATATATATCTCATTCGATTCCGAATACATTGACAATAGGGAAATCTCTAATTTCCCATCGAAGAAGACAAAAGTGGCATCGGAAATTATCGAACATGTTATCCATAAAAAAAAAATTTGATCAAACATGTTCTTATTGTCCAACGGGTAAAAATTGTTATGAACATTTCCCACGAAATTTATTTTGTCATACAACACGTTTACAATAACATTTTCCATTCGTCGTTAAATCTGAACAAACCATATCCAGTTGATATAAAAGAGAGGCCTCGAAGGAAAACTCTGCAAAAAACTTACAATGGGACCAAGCGAGGGCATTATCCAAATCTGAAAGAAAGCTAAGAATGAATTGGAAAAGTAAATAGAGAGGGCAAAGAAAGATTGAAAGGAGGAGGGAGAATGGCTACCAAAAAAAAGAAAGGAAGAGGGAGAAGAGAAGAACATAAGTGCTGGTCAAAAGGATTAATAAAGGACTAAAAATGGGATGGAAACACAAACACCCTCCAACTTTCTACGGGAAAAAAACAAAGGGTGAGAGAGGGTGGATTCCTGGACTAGATAGCTAGAGCCTAGAGCACCATCCAGCTAGCAGAGAAGAAGAACAACGAACGCATTCCTTCGGTTCCCTTTTGTACTACTACTACTACTCTTTCCGCCTCCGACTCTGCCTTTTCTCTCTATATATGACGCACTAGTTGCAGTGATGTAGCCAATAAGCCAGACTTAAATTGATTGGGGTCCTTCAAAATTTTAAAACATTTTAGTCTGTGTATCTAATGAACTTTGAGTTGATTGATGTCTTTAAATGAGCTAATATTAACAAAAGTATGGGGTACTAAATACAAATGATCATACTAAACCTTACATATCTAAAGGGTTTTGTTGCCCTATTTTTTTCAAGTGGGATCCTAGGACCCCTCTCCTCTACATTTGGTTTCGCCGCTGACTAGTCGGTACTGTTAATCATTATTCATAAAATTGTGCTAAGCGTAAGGCGCTAGACATCATCAAACTATCTTGTTTCGAAGTTACTCAACAAGTTAGGAATCCACCTTCGATACTTATTCATCTGAGGCCTTTTTTTCTTTTAATGCCGCTTGGCAGAGCCTTTTGGCAGAAAGACCAGTCAGAAGCAATGACGATGGTGAAGGTTCATGGGAGTGGTTGCTTAAGAATGGACTTCTGATGGTGTTTATTGCTGTATTCCCGGGCTTCTGATGGAATCTCAGTCAATCTCAGTTTACTTTGTTCTATTTTGGTTATTGTTTCTTTTTCGGGCTGCTGCTGCTTTGCCATTCCCTTTCTTTTTTTGTGGCTTTCGCAGCTGGCTGAGGTTGGAACTCTGTTGTTGAGACCTGGGGCTGGTGTTTGCCACCTGGTCCTTTTTGTTTCTTCTATCTTGTTAAGTATTAATTAATTAATGTCACCATTATCAAAAAAAAGTTAGGAATCCAAAATGCATGAGTAGAATAAGAGAATACTTATGTGTTGCATATACATATTTAGGTTGAGTCATGCAGTCAATAAGAAAATGGAACTTAATATCATTTGAAAATTCAATATTTTGGTAGCTCAAGAACTTCATGAGCTATTGATTTATGATTCTAGGAACTTGTGAGCTATTTTTCTTATTGCTAAATATTAATTAACTTATATATAATTTAACTGAAGTGCGAAAGTGTTGTGAAAATACTATTTTATTCATCATTTGGTATAAATTGTTTTTTTTTTTTTGTTTCCATGCTATAGGGGGGATTAACCTACGCCTGGACAAGCTAGACACTAGAAAAGGTCCCAACGCATTTTTTATGCCTACCTTCTTCTTTAACATTGCTGATAATACTTGAATCAAGTTAGTGCTCTTGAACTTCCCGTCAGATTAGACGTTTAACATCCCTAACCTATTTTCATTCATCCTTGCAATATTTCACAATAAACATGTTTAACTTCGTAATTCTTATGAATAATAGATATCTTCAGTACTTGTACAACTTATCCAATTTATTACAAAACCTATCTGCTCACGTCTTGAAAAAAATTTAACTAATAAATTCATTTATGAAAATATATATTATTCTAATATCCATCTTCTAATTGTATAATAATAATAATTAAGATTTGTCGGAGAGGGAATAAAATGAAATAACCCCAAACCCTAAAAAACAGGCAGAAATTAAAGAATCTGTTGCCCCATCATCATCTCGCCTCTCAATCAGTAGTTAAAGAAAGGGAGGGAGAATAGAAAAAAAGAGAAAGTGTGATTCATAATTGGCAACATAACGAAACAACCATCCATCATAATCCCCCACATGCATCAACGATGATTGACGACGGCCAAAGTCGATCCAGCGGGAAAAAGATAGAGAGAGAGATATATATTGGCCCCAAAAACAAAAAAAAACAACAACAACAACGTGGACCCCAATCTCCGTCCTACGGCACGTTTCCTACCTTACAATTCGGTGGTGGCGGATGCGGTGGCGACTGCTGGACTGGAACCCACCCCTCCGGCCACCGTTCATCCCTCTCCCACCGACACCGCACCAAATCAAAGTTGTAGTAATCAACCATTCAGCCCACCGCCACAGGATAAATTAAAAAATAATCATGAAAAAGCCCAAAAGACAATTCCCCTATTTGTCAGTCAGGGTTTCTTTTTTCTACTGCAAATTAACGAATCCAATCATTAACCCAACTATGTTAAATTTACCCTCCGCAACGTGTTAAAAGAGAAAGATAGAAAGTAAATTGATGTGTTTGTACAGAAATATTACTTCTCAATATTTTTGCAAAACATTAGATTCTCAAAGTTATTGTCATTAATACAGTGCAAACTCGAGTTATAAGGATGATTTATTATTGACATGCTGTTCGAGTGTGTTATGACCAAAAGGTTTTCTCATCAAACTTCTACTACTACTAATATTATCAATTGATTTAATAACAAGATATGACGGACTTGTATAAATATGAAGCTCATAAGTTGGCAATTGGCTTTCATTCACGTATATATAAGGACATTAAACCAGCAAATTGTCCCCCGTCGATCAACAATGGATCTAATCGGCAGCGAAATCATTACTCCAATAAAAAAAATGTAATTATATTAAAATATTCTGCTTTAAGCAAAGATCATAAGTGTGTGTAGCCCATTTCGGTGAAAGCAAACAGATCCATATGCATATGCAATCATCATTACAGAACACAAGCCATGTTCGTGTATTTGGTAATGGAGCCCCGAGATGAACAACAAAAGCTCGATGGCCAAGCTAGTAAGCTACCATTAAAAAAAAAAAAAAAGCTATATATATTATATAATAATAAAAAATATGCAGCATCAGAATCTTAGAAAGGAATGGCGAAAAACGACACCCATCTACCTGTACTCCATTCCACTAATTGAGTTAAATTATTCATCAATTCCTTTATACAAACCAAGAAAAAGAAAAAGGAGGCAGAAGAACAAGAAGAAGAGAAGAAACTCCCCCTAATTTATATATGAATCCTCCTGTAAGTTCTATAAAATAATATACCACAAAAATAAAGAAAAGAAGAACCCAAGGAAGGGGAGTAGGCATATTTATAAACAAAAAGGAAATTAAATCGAGAGAAAGAAGAGAAGAGGAAGGGAACCTAATTTATAAAAAAAAAAAAAAAAAAAAGAAGAGAAATCATAATGACAAAAATGAAAACAATTTTTTCTTTCTCTTTTCGCCGCCCGGTTAATTTTTTTTTTAATGTCTGGACCGACCGGCGGAGATGGCGGGATCACTGCCGCGTGTTCTGCAGCCTGGTGCCAATCATTTTGAGCTCGAACTTCTTGACCGCCCAGGCAATGTCCCTCATCGTCGTGTCCAGCTCGTATGGCGTCTTGTCGAAGTAAGTTTCGCTCACGTTCAGCAGCGTCTTGCACGGCTCCCTCCTCTGCGCGATCGAGCCGTGGTAATGGTAGTACTTGATCTTCCCTTCCGTCTTGTGGTTCGTCTTCCCCACCAGGTTCTGCGACATGTGCACCCCAGTCGCGTACACATTCCTGGGCTGGATCGCGTACTTCCGGTCCCTCCTTATCCCTTTCTTCACGTCCTTGTACACCAGCTTCTCCATCCCCCATTTCCTGCATCAGTGTACAGAAAACCCCACAATCAGGAACCAACCCAATACTCTAATTCACACAATGTGCACAACCCATTTGACAATTCAGCCCAATTCCATTCATCCATAGTGAAAGGTGGTTTCTTGATTTCATCAAAATGGTATTGTTCGTCTTTCTGTCTATGATGGCAATTGGAGATCATTTGGGGGAACTCTTCATCAACAAGAGAAAAGGACGGACCACATATATGAAAAGAGAAAAACAGAGTGATTGAGCTTTAGACAAAGTATGAGAAGGGTCTCCATCATGGCTACACAAGAACAGGACAGCGAAAGAGGTCTTCATTTCAATGGTCACGCCAGAAAATGAAATGAATGATAATAATTCCAACCACCACTTGGTCTCACTGGATCTCTCCTTCCCTTCCCTTCCCTTTCTTCTTGGATGCTTTTTTCCCCCTTTCTTAATTCATTTTCAATGCAATACATTATCCCCACCATCCCTCTATTCTATTCCCCTGTTTCTGTTTTGTTTTGTTGCCCTCGCAGTCCGGCAAATGGACTAGCAGTAGCATTCAAGCAACCACCCACCATCACAGTCTTCAAACCCCCCACATTATGGAAACCAACAATAATTCCATTCCAGACTAGAATGAGAATCCCCGGGTGCTGCTTCAATTTGTGCGTAAATAAACACTAGTTTATGTTTCTAGTTTATACCATAATGACCAGTATGAATCTATGACTGATTGACGGTCAGCATACATAATTGCAGGCAAATTAGGAAAGAGCAGAACCCAATTCAAGTAACGGCGCAATAGAAGAACAAAAAGAAAGGGCAACTTAATTGAGAAATGGGGTTACCTGTAGTATCTGCCATAGTCGGCGGTGAGGCAGAGCTTGCTGTTCATGGGCATCTGTTCAATGGTGAACTGGTTGTACTCGGAAAGCGAATCCAGAGTAGTTTTGATGGTGCTTTTAGGCGGGACGTAGATGAACTCGTCGACATCGAAGAAGAACATCCACTTGGCCATGAACTTGTAGCGGTGGAGGCAATCGTTCACCACCATGAACTGGTTGTGGTAGTACCCATCGAACCTCTCCTGGTCCCTAATGTCCTGCAGCGTCACGTATCCCAGGTCCATCCACGGCTTCAGAACCTCGAACACCTCGTCGTAGACGCCGCCGGCGTCGTGAATGACGAAGTGAGATCTCTCCCCGAACAGCCTCACGTGGTAGGCAATCCACTCCCTCACCCTCTGCGGGCTCAGGTTGCCGTACAGCGACGAGCCGCAGTAGAGGTAGTCGTACTTGGGCTTGGAGGTGAAAACCCCAAAATCGACGCCCCCTTTCGGCTCCTCCAGGACCTGGATTCGGTCGGTGGTGTTGAATTTGGTGTCGCCGCCGCCGGATGTGGAGGCGAGGAGGTAGAGCTTGCCTCCGGAATTGTCGGTGTTGATTGGCTCGGCGAAAGTGCAGTTCACTATGACGACGGTGTAGACCCGGCCGTACCCCCAATCGGGAAGCATCTTGTAACCGACGGTGGTTATCGGAGGAGCGGCGGAGGAATTGGAATTCGACGACGGTTCGGGGACCCACTCGCATTGGTAAGTGGGTTTGGAGTAGAGGTGGAGAGGCTTGGAAGCGAGACCGTTAATGGCGAAGGTGTTGAGCCCGCCTCTGTAAGTCCCCATTGTGATGAAATTGTAGGCGGCGGAGCCGTACGGGTTGAATACGCGCTTGATTACGCCGTTCTCGAGCACCTTGTCCTTTTCGACGGCGGGGGGAGACGAAGGAAGGGGAGGCGGCGGAACGACGAGATGCGAGGCGGTGTGGGCGGCGGCGGCGGAGGAGGAGTTGAGAGCGGCGAGGGCGGCGGCGTCGGCGGCGGTGGTGGTGGAGATAGTGGTGGTGGTGGTGGTGATTCGGGAGATGCAGAAGCGCAGATCGGAGGTGGAGATGGTGAAGCGGGAAGGGAGGAACTGGAGGAGGGTGGCGACGGAGCAGAGGATGAGGAGAGCGGTCAAAAGGAGCTTGAGCTCGGCGGCGCAGTTCCATACGACTCCCATAAACAACTTCTTCTCGCCGCCGGCTGCTGATTTCTCCCTTTCCTTGGCCATGGTGTTGTTGTGGTGGACGACACGGAGGGTGTGGGAACAGAGCCTCCCGACCGGAGTCGACCCGAGTCCTCTGGTTTTTCTTCTTCTTTAAAGTAATGGGTTTGCGCCTGCTGTGGAGCAGAAGAGAAAGTACGAATGGAAGGAGGTGGGCGGTGGTGAGGTGAGGAAGGAGAAGCTCAGAAGCAGAAGAGAGAGGGAGAGGGAGAGGGGGGAAATTCTGTTTTTAATGGAGGGGGAGAGAGGGCAGGGGATGGGGGAAGTGTCTTGTTTTGTTTGTTTGCCAGTGCTGTGCTGGAAGTGTAAGTAAAGCGGGTGGCTTTTCTTGTTTTTTTAATGTGGAGGGGGTGAATGGTAAAAAGATGAAAGAGTGGGGAAACAAAAGTGTGTAAAAAGTAAAAAAGATAACAATTTAACCTCAACTTGTAAGCAATGTGGTCAAAATTGTGTTCTAAAGGTTACAATCTTACCTTTTATGTTCTTAGTTTATCAATATATTTGTAAGTAGAATTACATTTTTTTACTGCATTGTCTGTGAGTGTCCAATTCATTCCAATCGATTGAAGTCAGTAAAATTTTCATTGAAGAGTTGCGGATTGGAAATGAACTTGGTCAATATTGGTCTGCTTTTTATGTAAATATGGATTATTATTTATGTTTTTAGTCTTTATAACAATATACTTTTTGAAATTTTTTCAATATTATAAGAATGTGAGTATTTCGAGTAATTATATACTGTTATATTTGCGAAAATATGAGGATGTGAGACTGTGAGTGTACTTAGGGGTCGTTTGCTTCATGGATTTAAAAATGAGGGTTTTATAATTTAAAAACCCAAGGATTTATCAAGAATTTGAGGCATCATGGATTTGTAACAATCCTTTGTTTGTTGGGATGTTTTTATCATGGATTTAAAGGTATGGGATTTACTACTTGAAGTCAAAAATTACATTACTGCCCTTTTCTATATGTTTGACATGTTTATGATATGTACACAAAACAAGGACAAAACTTCAAAATTACCTTACTATCATTTTCTATATGTTTGACATGTTTATATGTTTATGATATGTACACAAAATAAGGACAATACATACTAATAAGCATAATGTTGCCACATGGACAATAATAATAAACAAGAAAATTCTGTTTTAACTTTTAACGTAGCATAATCAATTACCAATTCTTTGTCCTCCTTTTCAAAAGTGACATATAACAACATATATTAGAATCGGGAGAACAAAGAATTACACGTTCCATGAAAAGGTCAAAGAAAACTAGAACACAAGAAATGATATAAAAAATCTAACTCATGTTTGCACATTAATTGAACGTTTATATTATTCATTTTATTGTTAATTATAATGTATAATAGTTAAATTTGAGGGCAACCTTGGAATATTAAAAGTGCATGAGGGTATATGGGTAAAATCTCATCAAGGATTTATGTCATATTCCAAATCCCACATCAACATGTGGGATTTATAAGTCCGTGGGGTCCACGGATTTGGACCCTTAAAATCCGTGGGCCCCACAGATTTGGTCTCCAAAAAAGGTGCAAGCAAACAACGGATTGTACCTAAATCCTTGATAGTTGGTTTTTTGGTACCAAATCCTTGAAGCAAACGACCCCTTATTTGATTGATTTTGAATTTGGAGAAACTCAGATGAATTGCCATCTAAAAAGGGCGGTCAAAATCAGACTTAGGGCGCCTGAATTTTCTTGAGGCTAGAATGTCGTGGGTCGGGTCATTCTTGATTAAGCATATGGGTTGGAATTGGATTTTCCTTATAAATTGAGGTTTCTTTTCCTCCTTCCAATCTCATTTTCAGACATTTCCCTAATAAAGGCAGAGGGAGATGCAATGTCTTTTGCATCCTGTCTTCACTCGTTTTTATAGTAAATTGACATTTTTGGTATTAGAAGGTGTATTTGGTGAATGAGGTTCTCTGAATTTTGCATTAAGTTGATTATTGTGCCATAAAAAATGAAAAAAAATTAATGGTAAGACCGTAAGAAGAATATTCTTCAGAAGTTCTGTCAGAAAGTTAAAATCTTATTAAAGTTACCGTACCTAAACTAATAATGACGGAAAATTCTTGCGTCCAACCCCCGCTGGAGCTACAATCTTCAACCTGCCATATGGCAGCATATTAGTGGTTACTTAATCTTCCTTTTTCTCTTATTTTTAATGTCCTAATTATTGCTTTAAAATTAACCATATTAGGAATTAAAAAATGAAAAGAAAAAACAACTTGGACGGAAACAGAAGAAGACGGATGGAAAGGCTGCAACTTCTAGGTTATTAATCTAATTAGGTCAAAGAGGTATTTCGTATGTCTTGTACAATAACAACCAAGAGGCAATTGCATTGGGAATTCTTTGCTCCTACAGAAGCAATCTTAGGTTTATTTGCTTTGAATAAAAAGCTGTACGTAGACCACAGTAGTAGCCATGTGTGTTGATTTTGATGGGAAATTCTTTGCTCTTTATATTTTGTTATTTGATTATTGAAATCAAAAGTTAATAGCACCACGAGGCAATTTCTTTGGGAATTTTTTGAAATACTTTGAAAATTTCAATTTTTTTTGATCGATTGTAAATTTCAAATTTGATTCCTCCGTTGTACAAAATATGAACAAATAACTCACAAGTTCATAAATAATTTTCCAAAAAATTGAACACCATTCTAAATATTACAGTGCCAACATTAATAGAATATCTAAATAAAAGAAACAAAGTCAACAATCCATTGCGGTTGAAAAATAAATCTTGTCACAAATTTTGATCTTCAGAACGAGAATTAGATTAATAACCTAGAAGTTGCAGCCTTTCCATCCGTCTTCTTCCGTTTCCGTCCAAGTTGTTTTTTCTTTTCATTTTTTAATTCCTAATATGATTAATTTTAAAGCAATAATTAGGACATTAAAAATAAGAGAAAAAGGAAGATTAAGTAACCACTAATATGCTGCCAAATGGCAGGTTGAAGCTTGTAGCTCCAACGGGGGTTGGACGCAAGAATTTTCCAATAATGACTTTCTTTATTGAAATCACAATACAAAGCATTTGAAGTACTAATGATTTTATTGGTTATTCCATTGTTAGATTATTGTCTTAGGAACAATATATGTATTAAAGATTTTAATATATCATAGATTACAATTTGTCATGATCGTATTTTTAATAATTAAAAAGAAGAGTAACTTTCTAATGATCACTTGTATTGTTTCTTTTCAATGCAAATTTTTTAGACAAAATACACTTTCATAGTCATAACTTTCACGTTTGTGACAAATATAGCCAAAATTATGGGAAAATACAAAATAACCACTTCCGTCCATCTATTTAACAGTGTTACTTAACAATTTGACTGTACAGACGTAAATGCTGACCTGGCAATTTCTCGTCCGACACGTGGATTAATAAAAAATGAAATTTTTCTATTTAGTAAAATATAAAAGAAAAAACCCTTAAAACCCTAGCCGCACAAAGCTTATCTCCCTCGTTTTCCCTGATTCTTTCTGGAAAACCAACAAAAAAGAAGAGAAGAATACAGATGAAATCCAGTAGATCTGCCCGTCTCTCTCGATCTTCTGATCCTTCCCTATCTCTATCGGCCCCTGTTCTTCCCCAACTAGTGCCGATCTACTCTCCCTCTCTCTCTCTCTCTCTCTCTCTCTCTCCCTTTCTAAAAATGACGAGAAGAAAGGAAGAAAAGAACGCCAACAATTGAGGATGGCGATGACGAAGGTGTTTGACGCCATCGATGAAGAGGACGGAGGCGGTGGAGGCCAGAGGGTTTCAAATTTGGTCTCAAGGAGAGGAGCGAAAGAAAGGCGAGCCGCGCCGCCAGCGATAGCAGCTACCGTTGGCAACGAAAGAGCGTCGGGGGAGAAGTTTCAGATGGGG